CCCCAGGTATGCTTTATGATTTAATTTTTCATCCTTCTGAGAAAACGGCACCATCAGTTTCCTTATAGGCCACATTTTTAAGCCCCGTCACTGCTGGACAGGCTCTCATCTTGCAGTCAGATGGACTCTGCTGCCATGGCCTGATTCTGGCAGCAGGAGTCAGTGCTTGGAAGGTCACTCTGTCCACAAGCTGCAGGTGGGAGACTGGTTCATGCATTGCTAAGCTGTAGTTCAGTGAGGCTAAAGAAAGGTCAGCATGTTGAAGATTGAGTTTTTGTTTAGAAAAGTCATTCAGATTAGACAAAGTTTAATCTGTGAAAATCCACGGCTCTTTAATCTGCAGCACTTTTCTGCTCTTAGTAACCAAAGTGTGAAAACTGCAGGGGTCAGCAAAACCAGCATGAGTGTGCATCACAGAACTGCTCGTGTGGTTCAAAGGATCTTTACATGAAATGTGAAACACTTTGTCTGAATGTGAAGGACATGTGTCTCACCTTTGTAAACGATGCTGTTCCTGTAAGGACTGCCAGCTCTTCAGTCGTGTACGTTTTTAACACCAGAGGAAATTACAGTGGTGTGAAAAAGTGTTTGCAACCTTCCTGAATTCCTGTTTTCTTGTATGTTTGTCACACTTCAATGTAGAGCAGGGCGATATGACCAAAAATATTTATCACGATATACATTTGGAAATTTGCGATAATGATATAACTGACGATATAATTGACACTAGACAAAATACTTTACAACTCCTGAACTTTATTAGTGCAAAAAACCCCATCAATGTATTTTCACTTAAACAAGCAGCTGTTTTTATGTACATTAAAGTTATATAAAAACGTAACAGTGCAAATTTCTTGCTGACAGTTTAACCAAAAGGCATTTCCGGTGGAAACTGGCCGACATATCCTCAGCATAACCATGTATAATATCCACAAAACTTAAAAACAGGTTATACACACACAATACGGTAATATTATGTTGAAGCACAGTACGTATCACTCCGCGAGGCTCCGCCTACGATAGCCGTAATGCTCCGACAATCCATCAAGCAGTGCGGCTTCGTAGCTTAGCAAAGTCGTACTGAAACATCTGACAGATTTTCGAGCGCCGTGTACATAAAATCGTTTCAAGGTCAGTAAACACAACCAGAGTTCATACATAAGGCACACGGGATTATAAGGGGC